TTTGACTAATGAACAAAAATAATCTTTTTTACTTTCTCTATCACAATTAGCATTAGCATTATTACGCATTTCATTGTCAATTTTATATATAAATTTCTTTCTTTCTGGTGATAACGATGATAATAGTTTAAAATGTGACATTATATAAAATATAAAAATATAAAATTCGACTTGGTGTTTCAATGAACGTGGAAATTTTTTTGTGAATAACGGTTACATTATTTCCTTAACATCAATAAAAGAAGGTTGTCGTGTTACATTCTAAATGTCGTAATTTCTGTGTAGATTTGTATATTGTGTTGTGTTATATATATAATATAAATTTTTTTTTTATAACAATTTGAATGCATGGGAAACATTCTGTTATAAAGACTCGTTAAAGAAAATTTTTGTTTTCCAAAAATGATAAAGGGTTATGGTTATTTTTACATCGCCGTATCATGCGAATTCTCATTTATATCTATTTGGAAAAATTATCTATTTTTGTTCAAAACGTCAGGGTGAGTGACCGAAAGGAAATCGAGTTTCGCTTTAGATGTTTTTTGCACGGTGTCTACCGCTGTCTACCGTTAGGTATTTGTCTTTCTCTGACGTTTCGGACCGTTTGAAATGACCAAGAACTTACGGCCTTGCCTCAGAACCTTTACCTCAGATCCCATATCGTCAAAGACTTGTCACACAACGTGTCAGTGTTAGTATTATAGATTAGTATATTTTTGGATCACGAGTCCGGGATTCAAAAACACTTTTTTACATTTTATTTTGTTGTCTGTCAATTCAATGATCGATAAACAAACAATATGTACAAAATTTTTTTGATTGTCAGTGTTGAATTAAAAAAACAATTTTTTTGATTTGACCATTGAGGATAGTGGATGATGGATCTAGATAGGAAAAATTTTATTTTCGGAGAAAACAAATAAAACCGTTGATTGGTCTTTGCAAATGGGGTTTTTTTTTTACAAATGAAATTTGTAAATAATTTTTGATGTTTGCGTGAAGTCTATTCTTCTATAGCGATGGACTTCCAATTGATCCAATTGACCTTTAATCTGGGATAAATAAATAAACACGAGGAAAAAATCAGGCCAAAAAGATCTTTTTTAAAAAAAAGTTGGTTGATTTTTTTAACAATCGAAATTCGTAAATAACTTTTAATTCACAATGAGGGTTCTTCTTTGCAAAGGATCTTTTATTAAATTTGCTCAACGCAACGAATAAAAATATGACTGGCTAATGTTGATACTCCGAACGAATATATAGATACCTCGCATTTGAATGTAACGTGTAAAGCCGAATCATATATAGAACATACCTCGACCCTTAAATTCGAATGCAACGTAAAAAGCACCATTTTTTGCATTTTTGGGGGTAGCGGGTCTATTTATATATTAATATGTTTTTGTGGTAACTTATTAGACTACTACTCAATCAATGTATCATCCGGCCATAAATAGCCTATATTATGGATACATGATAGGATGTTAAGATACTTCGCATCCAATGCCAATTTTGATGCTTCGAATGAATATATATGTATGTGATTGAGTCGTGTGATTTTATAATATTATGGTGTCATAATATCATCGCACTATAATGCTAATCTATATTTCACGAAACTCACCGTCAACATTTTCATTTAAAGACTTGTTTTTCTTTGCGGAAAGCTGAATGACATTTGACAAACAAATTTTTTTGATTGCCTTTTTCTCTAATAGGATTAATTAATAAGGATGTAAATTGAAGAAAATTGCATTATTTAAAGAACAACTTTATCATCATCAAATTCTAGTGATCGATTTATCGTGGTTAGAGATGCGAATGTTATATAATTAATGGTAAAACGTGTTTTAATTACTGAAATCATATAGAAAATTATAATAGATTTAATTATTTAATTTTTTTTTTTTGAAAAATACAAAAAACAATATAAACTATACATGAAGTCGAAATTAAAGTCCAAAAGTTGAAATATTTTAATTTGAGAGGCTAAAAATCAAATTAAAAGTCAAAATGATCAAAAAATTAATCAAAAACTTTAAATTACCATACCTTGGTCAATATCTGGCTGTCTGGATAAAACAAATTCTCTCGATGAGATGTCTAGTATAATTCATAAAATTCAGATCACTGATCAGTGAGATATTTTTATTACGCTATGAATATTAAAATATCATTATTTGAATCATCTTTATGAGACTATTCTAATAAGCCGTGTTCATTAAAGTTGGATCACTGGTTCTCATGTGATATGACATAATTTCGACCATTTCAACTTCATGTATAGTATGAATGTGTAAAACAATTAATAATCAAGTATAAGATTGTAGTCTTCGCCTCATATTTATCTGCCAACTCTTTAATTGAAGCTTTATGTTTGGATATATTGGATCATCTAAAAATATAACAAGATGGTATGTAATAAAATATAATCTTGCTATAACTCCAAGTATCAATTTTTTGACTAAATTAAATCATCTTAATAATAATAATAATAATAATAACAACATCAGTATGCAATTAATAATAATATCATGAAAAAATGATTTAATAAACAATTAAATATAAAAATTACAATCTTTGTCACCAACTCCAATATTTTTTGTTCAAATTAAATTATCCAAGAATTTAATAATAACAACAATATCAGTATGCAATAAGTAATGATATTGTGTAAGAGTGATTTAATAAATAATTAAATATAAAAAATACAATCTCCACCACATATTTATTCACCAACTCCAAGTTATCATCCGATTATAGTATATTAAATATGAAAAATAATTTTAATAAGCCATCGAATGTACCTAATATACAGGTGGATCTTTCAATCGAAGACGAATCTTCTATTAGTAATATTATATTGTAATATTATAATTATACCACTACCATATATATTTCGAGGAAAGTTAAAATAGCTGTTTTCCGCTTTTGATGATTCCTAGAAAGCTCTCTAATTGAATATCCAAGCTACGCTACATATTAAGTATATAAAAGGAACTTCGAGTAAAAAATGTTTAGTTATTTATAATAAATGTCTATTTCGAGGAAAGTTAAAAATAGTTGTTCTTTACTTTTGCTGATTCCTAGAAAGCTCTCCAATAGAATTATCTAACCATACTACATATAATATATATAAAAGAAAAAAAATGTTATTAGTGTTATTGATTTACATGCTTTATAACAATAATGAATATTCTTTATATGATTATCTTTCAGTATTTTACACATTATTATTATGTACCTTATACGCGGAACCAAAACATACTAGAACCTTTTCAGTATTAGTATTAATATGTCACAAATTCCCTACCTTATATACGACTTTTCAGTATTAATAAAAGTGCTTTTTCTGTATTAGTATTAGTATCAAAAATACGTTTTTTCCATGTGTATTCATTCTGTACATGATTGTTTATATGGACATATATCTGTTGAAATGAGCTTTGACTGCGTTCTAGTTACAAACATATTTTATTTATAAATATAATATCAACCAAAACCTGAATCGAATCAAATCCAGTTTTTTTGAACCGCTTTAAAATCCGACTCGTTTCGTTTTCGTCTGGAGCCTTAGGGAAGAATAAGAGGCGGATATTCATTTGGCGTTAAATAAAGTGAGAAATACCTGAATTAAAATATGATTATCGTCTCGCCATTAATCATCTAGACCACTTAATATTAAAGCTGATAACCAAGGTCCTAAATTGAGAGTTTCTGGATGGCATCATTTCTTTTGAAACTCAAGCGATGAGATTATATAATGAGAGAATTTATTGTAAATGAGGTTATCTTCACGTTAAAGCAAATGAGTGTAAAAAGGTATAAGCTCTATCAATGCATGCTCCAGATCCACAAGAAAGTTCGCAATAATGCCATCAAAAATTTGCAAAACAGTTACTTAATATATAAAAACTAATAGAGAACCAATGGAGTTGATCGCCACGTTTTCGTAACGACATACTTTAAGTACTCGTAAAGCGATAGGATTTGTTTTTGGGGTTTAAAATACTTTCTCTTTAACCTTTAATAATCAGTGATCAATTAACGTAATATTTAATTTGAAAAGCATAAAAAAGCCCAATTACACAAATCCGCCGATATGCATTTGTTCCCTTGAACTGAGGAATATACTAGCAAACCGTGTGGACGTTGTGGAGCCATTAAAGATAATCTGGCCTCCCCAGAGTCTTTTAGATGTACCAATTGCAATCATTTTAAAGCGTATATTGTGGAAACACAACAAGAGTAGCGATGTCGGTGAGGGACTTGTGCTAATATTTGTGTCATAAAATTTCTTTATATGGAACCAAGTGATACGTAGGAAGGAATTCGTTTTTTTAATTTTTATATTATTACTAAATCTAGCGTTTCATTTAGAAAATTTAATTACTTAACAAATTACAAATTTTTGATTTCTATTATTATTTATTTTTTACCTTTTTTACCTTTTCTACCTTTTCTACCTTTTCTACCTTTTCTACCTTTTCTTCGATACTCACACTACCATTCGAAATAATATGTCGTTAGATATAAGAACAGTTGTTGCTATTGGTTAGTGGTTTAAAATTTAATTTTTTTAGTTTGTTGTAAAAAAAAAAAAAAAGGAAAATTGCTAAAATCTTAATCTTTTTTATAAAACTCTTTAGACTTTGGAACCACCTTTTCCGGTATGAGTTTGTTATCTTATAAAGAAACAAGTGATATTGATTTATACGATGATCTTAATTTCAAAAATAAAATTTTTTTTCTAAAGGTTTTGCCTACTCAAGTAGGATAAATGCGGAAATAATAACCAATGATACAGTATGTATATTTGAGAACGATTGTAAAAAAAAAAAAACATCGAATAAAAAATATTAAAAGTTTTTTTTTTCAAACTTTCTAGTGGTATGAAAAAAATCTTTTTTTAATTATCTTGGGAGAAGAGCATAAAATAAATAAATTAAAAAAACCCGGATTAATTATTTTTTTATGAAAAATAAAACAAATAATAAATAATGATTAGGCCGGGTCAAACAGGAGTATTTAAAACGAATACTGTTTTAGCATACGATGATAATCTAAACCTTCTAGCCTGGGGTTATCCAGCATTGGCAGAGGAGCCCTCAAGGAAACAAAAAAAGAATCAAACCAAAGCACAATCAAGGCCAGTAGAATTGTTTAAACTTCATTTGGCTAATAATATAAAGGATGATGAAAAACCGCCACTTCCTTTAGGTTTGGATTTTAAAAGAGTCATTACTGACTATTTACATCAAATGAATAAAGTAATTGAGATGGATATTTGGAGTGGGGAATAGGTTTTTGTTCGATTAGTGTTATTTGTATTGATAATTTAAAAAATTTTATTTTTTTTATTTTTAATCCGTGTTATGTATATAGTCAATCGCAGACGTTTTGAATACTCGATGGCCAGGTAATTAATCCATCTATTCATCATAGCATACACTTATATATACGTGTTGATATAAACTTAAATTTTTTTTTTTTGGAATAAATTAGGTCTAAAATATCCTCAACAAGTAAGATATGTTATATCAGTTCCTGCTGAATGGTAAATATTTTTATACTTTGATTAAAAAAATCATCAATAATTAATATATATATTTATTTATTTATTATATATAAATAGGGGACATGATGCAAGAGCTATTATGAGAGAGTGCATGTATAATGCAGGCTATTTGGAAACCAAGCAATCTCTAAATTTAGAATTTACTTCGGAACGTATGTAATCAATCTATATATTTGGATGTTCTTTACATTGATAACATTTATAATAACGACATTTCATTTTATTGAAATTTTTATTTTGTAGCGGAAGCAGCTGCTATATATTGTATAAAAACTTTAGCTGAACATAATTTGGCAGTAGGATGTAAAGTTTAATTAATAATTTTTTTTGTCGATTGTTTGTTTGAAAAAAAAAGCGAATTACTAATTGTGTATCATTCTTATATATGATTTTGTTTATAGCATCATTCATGATTGTAGATTGTGGTGGTGGTACGGTAGATTTGACCACACGAACATTGTTACCTGGTAATAAACTTGGAGAAATTACTGAAAGAAGTGGTGACTTGTGTGGATCATCTTATGTTGATCGAGAATTTCTAAAGTATCTTGGGAAGAAGCTTGGATTTGCAGCTATGAAAAAGCTCAAGGAGAACAACTACGGACAACTCCAATATCTGGTACAACATTTTTGTAATAAAGTTAAATTTAACTTTTCAGGCAATCCAAATGGATTCACCACAAAAGAAATAGATATTGAAAGGGTTTGTCCCGCGCTTATGAAATATGTAACCGGTAATGCGCAAGATCAAATGGAAGAGGCTGAATGGATGGTTGAGTTAGAATTCCAAACGATCAAGGACATGTTCGATCCTGTGGTGAATAAGATTATCGATCTTGTTCGCAAGCAGTTGGCTAAAATGGAACGAAGATGTTTGGCAATGTTTTTAGTTGGTGGCTTTAGTGAGAGTCTTTATTTACAATATCAAATTCGTAGAAATTTCATGAGTATGGTAAAGTCTCATCATATATTAAATAATTAATATATACAAATAGTTCATTCTCATTTATAAAATAAATAAAATTTTAATTAAAATATTTTTTTGATATATTTCTAGGTACCGGTAATTGCTGTACCAAAACATCCTATTGCAGCAGTAGTAAGAGGATCATTAGAATATGGACTTAATATGGATGTGGTTCAAACTCGTGTATTGAAGTTTTGTTACGGAATTGAAGTTAGTTCCAGATGGGAAAGAACTGACCCACCAGAACGTAGAACACAAACAGGGCGTATTTTCAAATTTCACAAATTGGCATACCGTGGTACGGAAGTATCAGTTGATCAAAAATATTCCTACACAGCAGCACCAGTTGTTCCAAATCAAGTAGATATGACATTTAATATTTTCATTTCACCTGATAATGGTGCAAATTATTGTGATGAGGATGGAATGAGAATGCTTGGCAAGATGAAAATTGATTTACCAGATCCACAAAAAGGTAAAAATCGATTGGTAGAGTTTAGTTTAACTTTTAGTACAATGGAAATAAAAGCAATGGCTATTAACAAAAGAACTGGACAAATTTATGAAAGTAACTTTGTTCTGGAATTCTAAACAATATTTAATGTACATGTGTTTTCTTGAAATATATATTATTATTTTTTTTTTTTAAGGAAGGAATATTTAATATATTATTATTTATATTATTTTTCATTTATTTATTTATACATAATTAATTAATATTTATTTATTTTTGTTCTACGTTATTTATGAATATTTAATTAAAAAAGGCAGTATAGTAATTATATTACAAACTACTCTAAATTTACTTTCGAAATTATTTATTATTGTTGTTGTTATATTATTTAAAGATTTTGGATTTTTCTTTCCCAAATCTATACATATATATATATATATTAAAAAAAAACCTCATTAATACAAAAAAGGGAACACCAATATTATATCAAGTCAAAAAAAAAAATACCTGAATGTAACTTTCAGACAAAAAAATCATTTGTGCATTAATCTCTTCCACAATCAAATCTTGAATTTGGTACCATTGTTCTTTACCACGATGTTGAACATGTACTTTATAAATTCCATTACTTTTACCTGCTTTACCTTCATGACATATATTTGCTATTAAATCATAATGCGTGTCCAACATTTCTGATTCTGGGTTTTCGAGAACTAAAAATAAACAAATAGATAATAAATTAATTATAGGCATAATACACTTACTATGATAATCAATGACAAGAAATAGTTTTTAATAACAGAGTGTGTATACTTACAATCTTTCATATCAATGTTTTTAATCGGAAAGTTTACAATCGTGGGATTTTTCTCAAGATCCCAATTATTTTTTGTGAAACGTTTAATATGGAAAATTAAGTAGTTGGGTAAACTAATCAATTGGAATCTTTTTAAAGCACCTGCTGATTCCTATCGTTGTATATATGTTATTTTTAAGTGTAAGTAAAATACTTGCATACATGCGTGTGAAATTATAAACTCATTAAAATTAAATTGAAATTAACCAGAGTTGTTCTACCGTCATACTTTTGAAGTATTGTTGATAATGCAACCTAAAATAATAATAAATATATAAATACATATATTATATTATTAAAATTCACCCTTTCTTTATAAACAACCATAATTACTTATTTACTTGAGGGATGATATTTTTCTCGACTTCATCCTGAAATAAAGGTGGTGGTGGTAAATCCAACGTTAAAAACAAAAATTGTGTCCTTTTTAAAGATATTTCTTTTTTATTTTTTTTTTAAATGATTAAAAAAAAATTTAATATAAACTTAAAAAATAATAATAATTAATAATATACAAGTAATGGAATTTCACCTCTATCAACATCAAACAATTGACGATCCTTTTCATCAGTATTATCTTTTGTAATTATGGATTGAGATTCTACCTTTACTTCTCCTTGAAATATTTTATATATTATACTTGAATCTGATTTCTTGGTACCACATAAATCTTTATGCAATGTATTAAGAAACCAAGATAGAAAATCAAGAGGATCTGCTTGTTCTGCAAGTTTGAACCGTTTATTACTTGCATTTGAGATTTCTTGTAATAATTCATGAGGACTAACTTGTCCTTTAAATGCTCTTGGATTCCATATTTTTTTGACAAGTGTACTAAATCTTTGAACTAATAATACACAAACGAGTAGAAAGATTATGAAAAAAAAATCTTTGCATGCGAGTAAACGTAAAAAATAAATAATTAATTACCTAGTTGAGATTTATTTTCAAAGTTTTGTAACATAAAGTAATCTCTAAGTGGGGGAATATGTGCCAATGCTTGTATTATTACATTAACATAATCATTGGCTTTTACATTATTCAATCCGACAAAACCTATAATTTTTTTTTTAATATAAAAATAAATATATGATTTTCTTCTCAAAAAAATTAAAAAATAAAGCTTATAATTGATGATTAATTACCAGGTAAATATTTTTTATTATTTAAATCATATGAATGTTTAGTATTTTGATCCAATTGTGCAACCTGTTCTTTTGTAAATGTCGGATGTAAAACATACTAACCTCACATATTTTAATAATAATAAAAAAACTAATTAGCATATAAAAAAAAGAAATATTTTTAAAATGAACCAACCACATAATTGTTATTGTTATCATTTAATAAAAAATGATTTTTTAAAAAATATAGATACCTTGATATCATCTAATGATGAATCTTTAACTTCATATCCATCAGGTAATACATATACCTATATATATATATATAAGAATTAATAATCATTAATTTACAAAAAAACCATTTTTTTTACTTGTGTATATAAAATTTAATACTAACTTTGAGTGTATGTAAATTAATAAAAACATGGTGATCTTCATGTAAACTATGAAAATAAGCATGTGAATTACGACCTCGTCCTAAATAAAAAAAAATTTTAATAAGTAAAATAATTGCTTTAATAAATTATATTTATGTTTCTCAATTATATTACATTCATTACCTTGAAAATACTTGCCACATACTAAACAAGCATAAACGTTTAGATTTGACAAAGATACTGAACATACTTTTTCAAAATCAAAATCCAACATGTGTCGATTTATCTAATAAACAAATAAATAATTAAAAAGAATTCTTGAAAGAAATGAATATATACAAAAAACCCACAGTATCCAAGTAAAGATCACTTGAGTTATTACGATTTTGGTTTCCTTGAAGGCGAATTTTTTTAGAGTCTGGCTCTCTATCGATAAAAGTATCGGCATTTTGAGTCTCTAATTCACGTTTTACATTATTTGATTTATTATTAACTTCTTGAGTCATTTTGTAGAAAAAAAAATAAAAATTTTTGTTATATATATATACAAATTTTTATATCACGTGTTTATGTTATAATAAAAACCAGGGTACGAAAATGCGTGATCAAAAATAATCGGGGATGCCATGTGTCCCAAAAAAAAACTCGAAATCTTGAAGTATGGCATGACGAAAAGCCAGAAATCGTTATCCTAAAAAGGATCCAGAAAATCAAGGAGTTTATTAATAAAGAATCTGAAAGCAAAAATATCGAAACAGAATCTCAGTTATGATCAACAACTTTATAATACATGTAACTCAATATCTAAATCGTAATTGCTTCACAGGTAAGTATTACAGTCAATAGCACAATTAATTATACAATTGACATTTTTGTGACAGCCACTACCGAATTTTGAATTGACTCGCAATCATATAAAACGATAACATGTCCTCTGCTGTTACTCCAAAGCTCTTTCCACTATAAGGGGAGCGTAATCAATTTATTAATTCGTTAATAAAACACTTAATGAATCCCTATGCTTAGAACTAAATTTTAGCATAGATGCGGAAAATGTACAACAAATAGATTGTTATTACATTTTTGGTTTGCAAATTGTGAAAAAAAAAAACATTGGTTCGACAATCAATTTATTATAAGATACGGGAGGAGATAACCAAAGCATATTTTAAAACTCCATTTCAAATCAACCTCATATGTCTAGAAAAATATATATTATTTAAACATGTGTTATTTTAAAAAGAAATGCAAGTTGTGTGCAATAAATATTGTGAGTTATCCAAATTGTTGGTATTCAATCTGCCCAACCTGACGGTCGTCCGATGAAATCCAATACCAACGGATGTAATGGATGGATGACGACGGAGTGATTTTTGAGATCGGATATCAGCGAATATCAGAATTGGTTTTCCCAACTTTGCATTATTTAATCACAAATATACTTTCCTACAATATTCTCTGCCAGAAGCATTTCACTAAAATTCTAATTTCTTTCTGTCCGATGTTAATAATCTTTCAAGCCATTACTGGTTTATTAGTAGATTGATCGTCTATGCTCGAAGTTTTTTCATTCTTCTGCCAGACACAAAATCTTCAAAATACAGAAACATTTTCAATAAATATTATTTTTACAAGAAAGCTCATCAGTAAGTGAAATAGTAATGGCAAAAAAACAAAGTACTATGAAAATGATTGCGTAATGTAAGTTAGTATTATCAAAATCATGGACAATGTCTATGACTCGTGTGTCTAGATTCTGATTGCCTTTTTTAATTAATAGATTTTATCACCACTAATGCCAACCATAACAAAAACGGCGGGAATTACCAAAACATTTTTTAAGAAATTTAAAAGTTTTAATATTTAAATTTATATTGGCGATTTTCAATTTAGAATCCTAAAGTTTTATTTCAGGCTTTATTGCAGTCCATCCCATCTAATAACGATTAACCAATTAATGATCTAGATTTTTAATAGGTTCGTTGATTCTGTCGATGACAAAGCCTTTGTTACATTAATTGTATAAAGGAAAATAAAATTTTAATTCATTCATTAAGCCAATATAATATTAATATCAATATTAATAATAATAACTCCAAGTAATAATTTTTTTAATATAAATTAAAATATTTAAAATGTTAAATGTCAATATCAATAATTTTTCTTAAACATAACTTATAATTTATTGATTAATTAATTAGTCAACCTCTTGAGATCTAACACGAGCTTTAGAATTGGTAACCCTAATATTCAATTGTTGAGCTCTCTCAAGAATTGAAATTCTTTTTCTAGAGCTGACTTTTGACGCAATTTCAGCTGCAAATGTTTTGTTGTGCATAAGCAATAATTCCAATTCTTTAACGTTGTATACTAAGAATTTCTTAAATCCATTTGGCATTAAATGTCGAGTTTTCTTATTTGATCCATAACCAATTTTTGGCATTGGAATTTGCCCTTTAAATCTTCGTCTAACACGATTGTCAATACCCTTTGGTTTTCTCCATGCTACCTATTAACCAATAGATTTTTTTTGTGTTAAGATCAAAAAAAAAAAAGTATACATATAATATAATATTAAAAAAAAAGAACTGAATTAATTACCTTTACAGATTTATATCTATCTGACTGATGTCTTATAAAAGGTTTAATACGTTTCTTGACAATCTTTACTTTCTTAATAGGATTAACCATTTTTTTATATTTTTATTTAACTATATTATCATCACCACACAAAGAAAAATAATTAATATTAATAATTAATATAGATTGAGCGAGTAATGAATGAAATGATTTATTATTAATTGTTCACCTATTTTTATTTATTTTCTAGTAAAAAAAAAAGATGGATTTTTTTTTTTAAAAAAAATTGTTCGTGCAACAGTAGAGTCTACGCCACACTTGATAATTTTAGAACTATGGTGCACCAAGCATAGTTAAAAATCCTCTCATTGGTCGATTAAACCTGTATGCAGATCATGCGATCAGCCAATCAAATTAATTAAAAAATTCGATACCAAAAGTTTATTGATATATCTCCATCCGATAATCGGTAGTTTCAGTTGGCAATTTATTTCTCTACAAAAGCTAAGTATTTTCTAAAATTATTAATTTATTGAATTATCCAATCATTAATAAATTTTACAATTACCTGATATTCTCTCTTTTAAGCTTCTATCAATCTCTCCATCTATATTTAATATGTTAGCAGCATCCATATCACTATCTTCTGATTGTAAATTAATTTCCAAATCTGGCTCATTATTAATATCTTCATCCATGTTTAGTCTTTCATTATAAGATTTTGTCAGATCATCAATGGCACCTGAAAGATAGGAATAACAGTAATTGCATTGAAGTCTTAACACCCAAAAACATTCTTCATGGTAAGAATGACCACATATTAATACTTGAAAATCTGTACTTGATATTTTACAATTATCATAATCACATAACTTTTCAATAATTGGTGATGTTTTTGTATGGTACCCAAGTGGCAAAACACTAGCACGGAAACCAGATTTAATTGGCAAAATATAATAATAAGGTTTTTTGATTTTTTTGCCTTCCATTTTCTTTTCTACTCTACCATCATTTTTTGAAATCTCATCAAAAAAATCCAAAAGAAATAATGCAGTTTTTTTAATTAATTCATCAAGATCTTTTTTTTATAAGGATAATCTTTTTTTGGTGCAAATGATGACATGAAGTTATTTTCAGATTTGCAATGGTCAATAAATAATGCATCATGCCTGAGAGACTTGGCTGTGTTCACTTTTGCATTTTTGTGTCTTCAAACCAAACTATGGAAATTTTCTACACAATATTCATCCAACTTATTTAAATTATTCTTCAAATGTATCCATTATAGGATGTTTGATCTGTTTCCAGTTAAGGCTCCAAACGAATCAATGAAATTCAAACCAATTTGAACCAATTCGAATATATAATTTGACAAAAATATTTTTTATTTTATATTTATTTATATAGTATAAATATTGTAAAATTCAAAAAAAATTTTTTACCTGGAGCAATAATTGCATCTCTTGTTGAAGAAGCATCAGTAATATTAGTATATATTAGTATTATTTTAGATTTAGTGAATTGTACAACTGTAAATCGTTACTTTTTTTACTCATTATTAATAATATAGGTCACACAACCATTAATATTAATATCAAGAAATCCGTTATTATTAAAAATTCGAATAAATATCATATCAAGAAGAATTTTATTAT